ATAAGGAGCATAGGTGCTTTTACTTTTTTTTTAACCACAATCCCTATCCTCTGTGTGTTTTTCATAGTCATTAATAGGCTATGAACATATTTGAGTGTCTCTTTGTTTGCCTACCATAATTTTTAAGACATTATTATGAGCATGTCTAATAGTTATATTATTTATATTTAACAATCATAATATTTATCATTTACATTCAATAATAATATTATTAGCATCGTTTTAAAGACATTATTATTAGCATGCTTAATAGATTAGTTTGGCATATAAGCCCATCAAGTTGCTATGGTATTACAAACAAGTAGATTGCATATTATAATTTGTATAAATGGCTTCTGTTGTATTTTTGTGAGCAGGAAATTCTCTTACATAATATTTCCAAAAAAGATATTCAATGGCATTTGGATCTTAGTGACACTGGAAAACTTTTCAAAGATGGTACCTTCAGGTTGAGTGCTGTGACTGGACATCTGCAACCAAAGGAACGATACAGCATTTCCATATATTTCTCACCAAGTAAATACATTTTACTATATTTACTATTAAAATTTTAGTTTGTCTTTTATATATTTTATCCTTTATACAAAAGTTTAAATTATTGTTTATATGTTATTTAAACAGTTGTAAGAAGTTTCTTATTAGAATTTTATGGTAACCCTTCTCAAAAATGACTCTCAATGATGATCCTCAGCTACACAAGTGTATTTATGTCCTTTTGTCATCCTTTCCCACATTGAACAAGGATGATATATGATCTCTGAGAGATTGTGGATGTGATGATAGGACTACCGAGACTAAGTCATAAAAAGGCTTTGTAAAAAGCTTCTGGCTTGTGCTCGTGGGTTTGGGAAACTGACCAGCGTATCTACTGATCTGTCTGTCCATTTTTGCTCTGGCGTTTAAAAAATTACAACAATTTTATAGTACAAGGAAACTTCAAAAATTCATGGAAAAAATGGAATGAAAAAGTTATGGATTTTTTCCATGAACTTTATGGAACCCTCTCATAAGTGGTATGCCAAATTGTTTCTCATTAAACATCTATTGCATTTACTTTTCTAGATGAACTGAAGCTTGCTATTTTCAGTTTGCATAAAACAAGAAATATCTTGGGTTTGCTCCTTCAAATACTATGTTTTTCTAGTTATTAAAGTTTTATTTTATATGTACCAGTATTGTGAATGAGATTTTTCCACTGCTCTTTTGAACTTGCTATTGCTATACAAAAGGAAAATATTTATAGTTTTGTTTGTTCTTTGGTTCTTTAACTGAACTTTTCTGATTAGTTATATAAGTCTTTTTTTTTTCTTCTTTCAAATATTATTCTTTCAAATATTATACTGTTTTTAAGTAAACAGTTTATCAACCTAAAATCATAGTAAGTTATAAATTTGTTTCATTGCTAATATTGGTGTTGTTAAGTGCTGTTGAGTCGGTTCTAACGCATAGCGACCCTGTATATGGTTTCTGAGGAGCGGCTGGTGACTTTGAATTGACATGCTTGCTGTTCAAACTGACTTTTCAGTCCAGTGCATTATCCACAGTGCCACCTCAGGACTCCCTTGCAGCTCATGTTCATGCCTTTTTCCTTCCTCCTCCTTGCCCTGTTCCTCCATCTTTTTCCCCTTCCCTTTCCTCATTGTCTCATTGATTGCACATGGTTAGGATATCCAAAATAATCTTAATTTTTTTTTGGTGATATTAGGCATCCTAACTTGTTCCAGATCCTAAGGAATACTGAAATGATTTCAAAATTAATGAAAATGCATCACTCATTTAAAAAAACCGAGTCATTGAAGAGAGTTCACTTTAAGGACTATTTAAAATGTGTCATATGGCTAAGGGATCTCTACAATGTTACCAAAGCAATTTAATTCTAGTATCAAAGGGAAATCATTATTATTGCTAGGACAAGGAGAGGGGAACTATCAAAATATGGGTAGTGAGCTGCCTTTATAGGAGAGGTCAAACAGAAGCTGTGACTGTAGAAGAAAGAAGCCACTGTCAACAGATAGCTTTTCAGTGAGGAAACTAGGCAGGTTAGGTGCGGGGACAACAAGAAATGAAGATTCCAGTTTCTGTATATTCTCACTAGCCTTGCTTATTTTGTGTCTGTTTTAAAAGTTATTCTGGTGAGTGTGAAGTGGTATCTCATTGTAGTTTTCATTTTCCTAATTCTAAGGATGTTGAGCATTTATATATTGTCTTCAAAGAAATGTCTATCATTTCACTGAGTTGTTTGTCTTTTTGGTATTAAAATGTACGTGTTCTCTGTATATTCTGGACACAAGTCCCTTATCAGGTATGTTGTTGTGTTGTTGTTATGTGCCATGAGTCGGTTCCGACTCATAGCGACCCCGTACAGGGTTTCCGAGGTTGTAAATCCTTACGGGAGCAGAAAGCCTCATCTTTCTCCCGCAGAACAGCTAGTAGTTTCGAACTGCTGACCTTGCGGTTCGCAGCCCGATTCGTAACCACTACGCTACCAGAGCTCCTTTTTATCAGGTATATGATTTGAAAATTTTTTTCCCATTTTGTGCTTTATCATATCAGTTTTTGATGACGTCCACTGAAGCAAAAATGTTTAAAATTTTGATGGATTATAATTTATCTACTTTTTTCTTAATATCCTACGAAAGGAAATAGAAAGATTTACCTCGAAATTTTCCTCTCACTAAAATGTAATTTTAACTCTTACATTTAGGTGTGTGGTCCATTTTGATTTAATTTTTGTCTATGGTGTGAGGTAGGGCTCTAACTCATTCTTTCATATGGGCATGTCCAGTTGTTTGAGTACCTATTTGTTGCAAAATCTATTGTTTCCCTAGTGGAATATCTTGTTGAAAATCAATTGACCCTAAATATAAGGGTTTATTTTATGGCACATAATTCTATTCAATGTATATATTAATACTTATGCCAGCCTCACAGTATTTTAAATAACATAGTTTTGCAGTAGGTTTTGAAATCTGGAAGTGAGAGTCCTCCATCTTACTTCTTCTTTTTCAAGGTTGTTTTGGTGATTCTTATTTCCTTGTTCTTATTTACATGTGAATTTTATGATTAACAAGCTATTTTCAGCACCACAACAATAGTACAGCACATAATAATAGCGAGTGTTGACTTTTCAAATCAACTGTGGTGTACTGCCATTTTAGGAATTCTACATTTTTAAAATTACTGTGCATGAGAAGTGTACTTTTAAACAACTTTCAATGAACTTTTGTAGTTTTTGTATTTTTTTTGTTAATTTTTCCTACATATTATATTCTTTTTGATATTATTGCAAATAAATTTGTTTTCTTAATTTTGCCTGTTCACTATTATCAAATATAAGTGAATAGATTTTTATATACCTTCTACATGCAATTGCTGATCTTATTCATTAACTTTGATAGATTGCTTAGAATTTTCTAAACGCAAAATATTGTCAAATATGTTTGTGTTGTTAAGTGGTGTCGAGTTGGTTCTGACTCAGAGCAACAGTGTCTAGGGTTTCTGAGGAGCAGCTGGTAGGTTTTAACTGCTGACCTTGTGGTTCAAACTGACCTTGTGGTCCAGTGCATTATCCGGCAGCGCCACACTAAGACAATGATAATTTTACTTCTATTTTTTTCCCCCTAATCTGAATCCCTTTTGTTGGCTTTTATTGCTTAATTATCCTGATTAGTTCTTCCGGTGCAAGTGGCCACAATGGGAATCCTGTAGATTAATAATGCCTTTTAATGCATAAGTTCCTTTTCTAGTCATTTTATGTGTTCAAGGTGCAAATACAATATCTTATTTTCTTGTGTGTATTTTCTCTAGTACTCATCTGTCATGATTAGCAAGCATTTCATCATCTTCCTCTCCATCCTTTCCCTCCTTTCTTCAGTCATCTTCCATTTTCCAAGGATCTCAAGCTTGTTGGAACAAGTAACACATTTCTTATAGAGAATACAAGAGGTATTGTTGAGTTCTGAGTCCATTGCTTTTGGTTCTGGCTCACAGTGTCACTTTTGAACATGGTCCTAAATCGCCAAGTAAAATCTCATCTTCATCTGTGGTTGCTCTGATCTCTAGCAGGTCACACTGGTGTCCTGTGTTTGGTTTATAAGATTTCAGCTTGAATTTACATTCACCATCTCACATTTTTCTCCCTCTGGAATATCATGCTATGAATTTGAAGCTGAAAGGACACTGGCTACTTACTGTGATGGAACCTGTCTTCCAGGACCAGCCTTTAGCCTCTTAAGTTGAGCTTTGTTCTCCAACACAAATGGCCTTTCCATCATAGTGAGTTGTCACATGGGATATTCCTGTCTTTTCTTAATTGGGTGAAATTGGTCAGTTGACGCTGGCAGTCTTTTGTAAATTTCACAATCTGGTGGAATGGAAATAGGAACCTCAGGGAAGAAGTAGAACAGCTGTTATCACACGGAGGGGATTGCAATCATTTAGATGAAACAAAGTATATGAATTGCGGATTGTAAAACTAATGATGATGTCTGTAAACCTTCACTCAATTCACAATGGAAAGTCAAAAATAATCTGAGTGAAAACACATTCCTTTCATTTCAACACATTGCTTTTTCTGAAGTTCTCTGGTCTACTTATGGCCTTATGGTAATGATCTGACCTCATCTTCATGCTGAATATACTAAAAGGATGAGCAGGTTCTATTAAGGCACAGAAAACAACCAAAAAAGAAAGTAGAAATCCTAGCCAAAGATAAATTTTTTTCCTCATAATAATTCAAATCTACTTTAAGGTGACTTGCTCTGTTGGTACGGCTGCACATTAAAATGTTTTTATTTTGGTAGTGTCTCATTGCTTGTCTGATGTTCCACTGCAGTCTGAATCGATAGTCTGAGTAATCTATTGGGCTCCACTGATAGGTACTTTCGTAGTATAGTTTAATGTTTGCTGATGTTTAAAATCATGTAAATTTTGTGTGAATTAATCTAAAACCCTTTCCTTTTTCTTCCTTACTTTTTTCTTCTTTCCTTCCTTTTCATTAGAGTGTCACAGAAAATATTCGGTGGCTATTCCTATACGTTTAAATGATAACCCAGTTTGTTACCGAATATTCAATATTACTGGAGAAGTAAAATCACCTAAGTTACTGTTTGATCCACCATTTGTATTTTTTACACCTGTACCTCTGGGCATAACAACTGTGGTGGATATCAACATTTTACCTCAAAACTATTTCAGGTAAGTATTAATACTCCCCATTTTTATATGCTCTTTTTGTTTGTTTATTTGTACTGGTGTTACCTGGGTCGTGATTACTGATTGACTGGTTTCTACAGTTAGAAAGAACAATTAAAACATTTTACTTTAAATTTGAATAAAATTTTATAAAGCCATCTACTTTTTATCTCATAGGTATTACATTTTCTTATGAAAAATTTGGTGTGTCTTTCTTCACTATATAAAAGGCAAGAATGGAATGTATTATTTTTCTATTTCTGTGTAACACATTTGCAGTCCAGATGTGATGCTATAGGATAAACACTGGACTGCTAACCAGAAGGTTGGTGATTGATACCACTCTTTGGAAACCCTATGAGTCAGAACTGGCTGAACTGCACTTGACAGCAACAATAACAGCAACAATGTGACATATTACTATCAACGTTGCACCTTAAAACAACACAAATTTGTTATCTCACAGTTTCTATGGGCCTGAAATCTAAGTTGAATTAGCTGTGTTCTTGCTTAGGCTCTAAACTGGAAGAAATCAAGGTGTTAGCTGGAAGTCTGGTCTTACCTCAGGCTTCTTGTTGTTCTTGTTAAGTGCCATTGAGTCACTTCCGACTCACAGCGACCCTATATAAGGTTTCCTAAGAGTGGCTGGTGAGCATGAACTGCCAAACTTGTTCAAACTGACTTTGCAGTTAGCTGAAGATCTGGTCTCACTTCAAGCTTTGAGACCTCCAACTTCTTAGGCTGTTGGTAGAATTGATTTCATTGCAATTGTAGGCCTAAGATCTCATGTTCTTGCTGTCTGCTGTCTAGGAGACTCTTAGTTTCTAGAATCATCTCTCAGATCCTAGCCATTGTTATTTTCAGCACAGCATGGCATCTTACTTCAAGGCCAGCAGCAGCACAGCGGTAGAGTATGTTTCTGACTTCTCTGGCTCTCATCTCCAAACCTTCTTTTAAGATTTCCCTTGATGAAGTCAGACCCATCCATGATAATTTCTGTTTTGCTTTAGTCAAAGTCAACTGATTGGGGACTTAATTGCATCTATAAATTGTTTTAAAGGATTGATGTTAAGTGCGGTGGAGTCAGTTCCAACTCATAGTGACACTGTATAGGATTTCTGAGGAGTGGCTGGTGGGTTTGAACTGCAGACTTTGCAGTTCAAATAGACCTTACAGTCCTGTGTTTATGCAGAGATTCTTGGAAGTCTGTGATTTGCTGAATAAACCGTACTTCCTTACACTGAATAGGTGACTGTGAGTAAAATTTTTAGGTTTTGTGAACCTCAGTTTATTTATCTGCAAAATGAGGAGATTGGTGCTGAATGTAATTCAGGGTCTCCTCTAAATATGAGAGGAGCCTTGGTGGCACAGTGGTTAAATCACCCAGCCTTTAAAGGAAAGGTTGGTTGTTCAAATTCCCCAGCTGCCTCACAGTAAAAAGGCATGACAGTAAGTTACTATAAGGATTTGCAGGCTTGGAAATCATATGGGATAGTCCTATCCTGTCCTTTAGGATCACTGTGAGTCAGAAATGACTTGATGACATGGGTTGTTGGTTTGGTTTTCTATATATGAACCTGAGTGATTTGGGTTAACAATCTCAGCTGTTAACTAAAAGGTTGCAAGTATGAGTCTCTCCATATTTTGTAAAGCAACTTTTGACTTAAAGTTGTTCCTGAGAACTTGATACATTAGTTCAAAACTTGAAGAATTAAAATATTCAAAGTTTACACATGGTTATTTGCTGTTTGTGACTTTTTGTGAAAAAAACAAAAACAAAAACAACAACAACAAAAGAATTGCACATTCAAACCCATTTAATTGCATGTATTTTGAACTAAAAACTCTTATTTTATTTTAAACAGAAATTCATCTATACACGTACAATTTCCCTCAGAGATTCTTATGGATGGTCACGTTTCGCCTCTATGTGTGAAGTTTCCAAAGGGCAAAGTCATTGCAGGTTCTCGCAGTGGAGTTAATACTAAGCTCACCTGCCACATGAGCTTCAAATCTTCTAAAACGATGTCATTTTTTACCAGCATTCTTTTCTATGATGACAACAAAAACTGGTAAGATATTTACATATAGATGATTTTGGATTGAACAGTGACGAACCATAGGTTTATATTCTACACTGTTGTAAAAAAAAGTTAAGAAAAATAAAGTATAATGGTTTTGAACATAAAGATTTTCTTAAAAGCTCAAAATGCACCCTTGCTTAGAATGACTCCATTTGTTACAGTGTAGTGGAACTGCTCCATAGAATGTTCTTGGCTATAATCTCAATGGAGGCAGATCACCAGATCTACTTTCCATACCACTGGGTGGGTTCAAGCCCACAACCTTTAGGTTAGCAGGTGTGCACAAAGTGTTTGTACTACCTGGGAATCCTTACCTGCACAGACTTGTTTTGACCTAGGATATCCAAGGCTGTAAATCTTTATGAAAGCCAACTGCCACATCTTTCTCGCTCAGAGCTGCTTATGAGTTTGAACAGCCAAATTTTATGTCAGCAGTTGAGTGCTTTAGTCACTCACTGTACCACTAGAGTTCTTTTGGAGTCAAGTCAGTTTATATAAATTCATTAAGCTTAGCCTTCCTAGTATACATATATATGCATAAATGACTACATATGTATATTATACATGTTATTGTTGTTGTTAAGTACCGTCAAGTCGGTTCCAATTAATAGCGACCCAGTATAGGGTTGCCAAAGAGTCACTGGTGAATTTGAACCACCAACCTTGTGGTTCAAATTGACCTTGCAGTCCTGCCCTTAATCTACAGCACAACACCAGAAGTTCATATATACATACACATATGTTTATGGATATAATTTTTCAAACATAACATATTTAAAAAGTGGTAACTTTCATAGGGTTGCTATGAGTCGGAACCGACTCCATGGCCCGTAACAACAATACCAACAACAACTTTTACTTTATGTCACAGTTCCTTTGTGAATACCTCATTTTAAACTGTGTTAAAAATACAGTTATAGTGCATTATCCTACGAAAATTGTATTAAAAAGAAAACTTAGTAATACATAATCACATATAATCAATATTTTAAATTATTTATATTCATTGTATTATATCAACACATATTTGAACTAAAATATAATATATAAATTAAATTAATGTTAAAATAATTTTATTATATTAATTAACTTAATTTGTGTGTATATATATATATATATATATCTTAATGGTGAATATTTGAAAATAATGAAAAAATGTTGTAAAGATTTTCAGCTTTAAAGATGGTTCACAAAGATTAAAAGAGTATTTAAAGATCTTGGGATATACCACAAATGAGATGATTCATGTGTCAAAAATTTATATAGATTAAAAATGTTGCTAAATTAACATGAATTTATATTAATGAACATTTCAGACTATATTCTTCTATAATGTATATTAACGGATGACAGGTACATATGTAATATGCTTGCATGGGCATAGACACATTTAGATCAAACCTAAAATCTATTTTAGGGACCAAGCATACAGTTTCTAGGATTATAAATGTTTATTAATGAGAGTGACTTAAGGAGCTACAGGTCACTTATATTATAGGTTACTGCTGCTCAGAAGAATAGTAATTGTAATCCTTTTTTGTCCCACTCAAAAAAAGATATTGAAAGATGTGAGTAAAGTTATATTATGATCATGAATTTTTTGAGTCTGTTTGGATGTATTAAAAATAAAATTAATTAAACTAAACTCTGAAACTTTATCATTGACTAAGACAATGACTTATGATACCCTCACTTGTGAAAGATACATTCTTGTATGTTGCAATGTAGTGGATGAGCTCTACTGTTATGAATATAAACATATTACAGCAGCAGAATTAAAATTCACTTGTCCTATAGATTTATCTGACAAAAATGTACTAGCTATGGTAAATACTGACTATATACAACTATTAAATACCCCTTTTATGTGTAGGTAAAGTTACATGTGAATGATATTGTTACAAATTATTGAATTGAAAAACTTTGGATATATAAACTGCTTGAGAACACTTGTTAAAAGCAAGTCTGTTGTGTAATAAATTCTGAAGTACTTTTGAAGCAAGTATTATCATTTAATATTACTCCCTTGATATTAAGTCTCTACTTAAATACTAGATACCAAACCAAATCCACTGCCATAGTGTCAGTTCTCTCTGATGGTGCCACTATATATAGGGTGTCTTAGACTGTAAATGTTCATGGGCACGAACAGCTGTGGCCATTCAGAAGCATATCGCCAAGCCTATCTTCTAAGGTACCTCTTGGGGGTTTAAACTGTCAGTCTTTCAACGAGTAGTCAAGCACTTAACACTGTCATTTTTGCCAAAATATAATTCCGTTCTAACTGCCTTGTGGTGAAGCTCTTGGATGACACAAATGGTTCGTGCTCCATTACTAACCAAGTGGTTGGCAATTCAAGCCTACCCAGTGGCACCATGGGAAAGAGACTTGGAAATCTGCTTTGGTAAAGACTACAAACAAGAAAACCCAGCAGAGTAGTTCTATTCTCTAATGCATGGAATCGCCATGAGTTAGTCTAGACTCTTCTGCAATAGGTTTGCTTGTTTACAGTTTTGTCTTGTGGAGAATGGTTAAATATCGAGAGAGTTGTTATTAGAAACCACACCCCAGATCTCTGCCACTTCCTCTTGCTCTATCCCTCTAACTATAAATTAAAATCATATTAAATAGGACTGCTTTTAGCATGCAAAAGCTGTCTTTAAATAGTACAGATAAGAGCAGAACTTTAGTTTTAAAACAAATATCTATAAATAATTCTCTTGGTGTTTGACATACTGTTGACAGGCCATCACAGTACTTCATATGCCAGTAGAAAGTGGTAACATGCTATAATTACCAGGCCGTTTATCACAGATATCTAACATGAACCTTCAAAAGTAGATCTCTAAAATAATTGGGGCAGACAAGCATAAGCGTCTCTTATCTATACTAGGGATGTGAAAAGAGAAATGTGGGATTAGAGTATTAATTATCCAGAGGCTAATGGCCAGAGATATGAATGATGACACTGTCCATACTTTATTTGTGGTCGTCACGCCATTCAAATTCAAATTGTGGTTCATAAAAAATACATTTTTTCATTTTATTGGATGTTATCTACTATGTTGTTGTTATGTACCATGGAGTCGGTTCTGACTCGTAGCGACCCTGTATAGGGTTTCCGAGGCTGTAAATCTTTACGGGAGCAGAAAGCCTCATCTTTCTCACGTGGAACAGCTGGTAGTTTCGAACTGCTGACCCTGTGGTTAGCAGCCCGATTCGTAGCCACTATGCTACCAGAGCTCCTTGTTATCTACTATAGATTTTTAAGAAAAGCATTTGTATTTTACTTTTTTTTTTTAATTTTGGTTTTTTGTTGATTTATCTTGTTCAGAAAATTGAGAAGTTAATGAAAAAGGCAGTAAATAGGTACATTCATCATCATTTTTATGGTTTTATCCAGTGTTCCTAAATTTTTAATTCTAGGAAATTAATGATGATGGTGTCCATTGATAAATTATTTAATCTAGATAATTAGTAATTTTTTTTTTTTTTAGAGTCAAGCTCTTTTATTTCCTGATTTTAAAAACTGCCACCATTATAGACCTCCTAGGTCTCCTTGTACCCCTTGGTCCCAACAGTTTTTGGCACTTTCCCTCTCTCTGGCTCTTTTTGTGCTCACACATCATCCTGAGTTGGGCAGATTTGTTCCTCTAACCTGTGGGAGCAGGTTTGACTCTTCTAGCAGGTGATTAGTTCTTCATCTGCCAGTGTTCAAAGCCCAGCCCACCACTCACTACTTCTACTTGCTCTTGATTTTTGAGGTATTGACATCCAGTGTGCTCTGGGCATTAGTGAGATGCTTTCTAGAATCAAGTATAATGAGTCCAGGTAGCACCAGCCACAGGGCATTTATGAAGACAAAGTAAAACCAGAAGTAAAGTGGGTGACCCAGCTCTCCATGCTGGAACCCATCGCGGTGCTCTGACAGGAAATAGAGTACATCCCCGTACATCTGGCCCACAGAGATCACAAGCTATAGGACAAAGCGGAAAGGTTGCTGGCGGAGAAAGGTAATCACCACCCATAGGCTGAGTGGTCCCCACATCCAAGCCGTGATGCTTTCCAAGCATATTATGAAGTTGTCACCCAGAATGTATCAGCTGTCCCCTTTGGCATACATTTCCATAGTTGTGATAAGAAGGCTTGGTCTGCAAGGAGGTCCTTATGGTACAGGACAAACCACCCCTCAATCACCAAGTGAAAGAACCCGCACACTGCAAACCAGCACAAGGTCAGTCGTCTCCAAGTCCCCAGTGGGACAACAGCAGCTCTACCTGATAACAGCCATGTGGTCATGACTAAGAACCCAGATGCAGAGAACAGGCCAGCCAGGAGATGCCAGGTGGGATGGTCATTAGGCACAAACTTGTCCAGCCGTAGGTGCCGAGGCCAGTAAGGGTGCAAGGGGCTGATGGTGGTCATATCTTTTGTGGTCTGATGGCTAGCAGCATGGTTGCAGAGACCTCTCCCTTGGGCTCCTGGATCTATGTAATGTTAGCTTTCAGGCTCCAGAACTAGCCTACCCTAGTTCGGGTCCATCCCTTCACAGGCCATAATTAGTAATTTTTAATCAAAAATCACATACACAAATGAAATTTAGTACTGAACATAGTGATCTGATGCATATGATTTTTTTTCATGGTTTGTGTTTCATAAAGTGAGATTTAAGATTTTTCAAGAGAACTAATCTACTACTATACCTTGTGCTTCATGCTAAACATACTGATCGATCAGAATTCTACTAACTGACCTATGTTTATCTAATAATTATCTGGATTAAATAATTTATCAATGGAAACCATCATCATTACTTTCCTAGAATTAAAAATTTAGTAACACTGGATAAAAACATAAAAATGATGATGAATATACCTATTTACTGCCTTTTCCATTAACTTCTCAATTATCTAGACAATGTACATAGAAAGAAAATGATAAGGGAAAAGATACATCTCCATGGAAAAATATCATATGCAGAACTGAGTTGGACATTATTCAATTATGTGTAACATATCTTTAAAGTCTTTGACAACTCAGTATATTTTATCAGTTGTTGTGGTTGTTAAAGTGCCATCAAGTCAGTTCCGACTCATAGTGACCCTGTATAGGGTTTCCGAGGAGCGGCTGGCGAGTTTAAACCACCGACCTTACAGACCAGCACATTTACCCATAGCGCCATACCAGGACTCCCATTAACAACTTGTATTAATGTCAGTCTTTCACATTAGTCAAACTCAAACTTACTGATATAGAGCTGATTCCAACTCATATACACATAGGACAGAGTAGAACTGCTTCATAGGATTTCTAAGGTTGTAAACCTTTATGGAAACAAACTGTCACATTGTTCTCCTGTGAAGCAGCTGGTGGGTTCGAACCACTGACCTTTTGATTAGCAGCCAAGTGCTTTAACTACTGTGCCACCAGGGCTTGTTTCACATTGGCCAGTGGCCATAATAAAATAGATGACGTTGAATATGAGAGATGACCAATTCAAGACTAAAATTATTTTAACATATTATAATGCAGGACTAAGATTAATATAAAATATAACCCTTTTATTTACAAAATAAAATCACTTACACAAAGACAGAGTTGTCACATAGGGTTGTTGTTGTTAAGCGCCGTCGAGTCGGTTCTGACTCATAGCGACCCTGTATAGGGTTTCTGAGGAGCAACTGGTGAATTTAAACCATCGACATTGCAGTTCAAACTGACTTTACAGTCTACCACATTATCTGGCAGTATCACAGCGATACTCCAAGAGTATTTTATAGTTGGTAAACATAATAATGCAGTCTGATAGTGCTTTCATAGGAGTCTTTGGATGGTGGAAACACTTAACAGAATTAGCTGGTAACTGAAGGATTGACTGTTTGTCCCCCAAAGGTGCCTAGGAAGAATGGTCTGACAATGTTGTTGTTGTTAAGTGCCGTCGAGCCGGTTCCGACCCATAGCGACCCTGCACAGGGTTTCCGAGGGTGTAAATCTTTACGGGAGTAGAAAGCCTCATCTTTCTCCCGCGGAGTGACTGGTAGTTTCGAACCGCCGACCTTAAGGTTCGCAGCCCGATTCGTAACCACTATGCTACCAGAGCTCTGACAATATACTTCCAAAAATCAGCCTTTGAAAACCACTCTGGAGTACAGTTGTACTATGGTACATATGCAGAATCAATTCGATGTCAATAGTATTTTTTGTTGATGTTGTTGTTTTATAGTTTTTCCTTGAGGTAGAATATACAGATTTTGGAAGATAATAGTACTCTTTACTAATTGAATAACTTTTACAGCATTCCTTTCAATTCTCAGACACATGAAAAGGACAAACACATAACAAGAGGTGAAAGATTTGGAGACTGTGTAGTTAAAAGAACCCTTGTATAGTCTAAATATTTGTAATCTGAAGAAGATTACAAACATTAGAGAAAATGAGACTGTTTAATAAGCACTGGACTGCTAACAGCAAGATCGGCAGTTCAAACCCACCAGCTACTCCTCAGAAACCCTCCACAGGGTCATGATGAGTCATTACTGACTCAACGGCACCTTACAACAGAACAATCGCAATGAAGTTTGGATTGTAGATTTATTCTGTGATGCTCTGGACAGAACTTCTGAAGTTCAAGCTTTCCAGATATGGAATAGATTTTCTCTGAGGCTTGAGTGCTACCTTCTTGGTAGTGTCACCCAAGATTAGATACCTTTGGGAGTCTACAAAAGAGGAACGTAAGTAAATCACCACTGAGACACCTTCAACTCTAAAATTGCATGCATCTGTGTTTGTGAACTCCTACAACAACAGGCTGTGTGTGAAATTTGCAATCTCTGTTAAAAAGCTTTAACAGTAGCATTAAAAAAAAAACAAAAAACATTCAAATAGATATAATAGTATATGTTTTCAAATAAACATATTTGTAAACTGGTAAACTAATCCATGCCTTGATCATTAAGGGCATCTGATAGACTGAAAATATTTCTGTGTATTTGCTATATCTGGAAATTTTATTTTATTGAAATTGTTGATATTTTTAGGTTTTCTCTCCCAGTTACTTTTACAACAGAAAACTGCCTTCTTACTACTTACTCATATATGGCAGATCATCTGGATAACCAAAAAATTGTTATAAAGAGTGGTAAGTTATGTTTGAGTCTTTTCTAACTCTCACAGTATACATTTTTGTTATCCAAGAGTGATGTCTAAAACTAAAGTGAATTTAAACTTATTGTATATTTATTAAACAGCTACAATTTCTATGAGTAGAATATGAAAGTATTTCAATTCAAGAAGTAGACAATAGAGTGAAATACCCACAAAACAATTAATTCAAAAAAGATTGACTTAGGAGCTCTCCCTATGAGTCCTTTGAAGTGCTGCACATGTCAGTATTTGTGAAAGAAATTAATGTTGATGTTGGGAGTCTGGGGTGAAGTTATAGAAGACCTGACATTTTTAGTTGTTGTGTTGTTGTAACCCATAGCGACCCTGTATAGGGTTTCTGAGGAGCCGATGGTGAGTTTGAACCACCGACCATACAGTTCAAATGGCTTTGCAGTCTGGCGCATTAACCCACAGCGCCACACTTGGTAAATGATGACCTTGAACTGAATGAGTTGGTCAAAAGAAGATGTTTCTTTCATCACATCCCCACGGCTAAAGTGTAGGCAGACAATATAGGTAGGGGTCATACCACTGGTCACTTTATTCTGAACATAGTGGGAAACCTTCTAGTTTTTGAGTATCAATGATTTGGCTTGACAACAGTTGATAGGATGTGGGATGGATTGGTGTGTTCTGTAGACATGTTGGGAGGAGGTAGAGGAGAAATGGAAAGAACTGAAAAACAATAGAAGAAAAACTAATGAGTAGGGAGATATTTGAAATACAAAACAGAAGCAGGGATAATTAATGGAGTAAATCACAGAGGATAAGAAACAATGAGGACTGGGAGAAAAATCCCCTGCAGGCAAACTTGTCAAAAAGCCTTCACTTTCAATGCTGATTGAAAAGTCTGCTTCTCCATACGTTTAATCAAGTTTTTCCCAATTCTATTATCTTTAAAGGGAAAATTGAATAAGGTCTTTATGTTTTTGTTTTGTTTTGTTTTGTTTTTTTTAAGATTATTGAGCAAGAAATCTATGAGTTAAAAATAATACATCCACTTGGAGAAATATTTCTAAAGAGACATCATGATTCTCAAATATTCTAAAGTCCAATTAGAAATTAGTATAAAATGGATTTAGTACAAGGTGTTTTGCTTAGTACTTGACATCCATTATTTCATTGATCCCTGCCAACAAGTGAATTAGATACCTTAATAAATATATTTTACAGATTGAGAAATTTAGTCACAGAGTTGGAGCATTAGACCCCAGGCAATTCTAACCAGTTTATGAGACTTCCGTGCTTACACGCTTAGTTACTGTGATCTAGACTATGATGTAAAACTATATTAAGTATATACAACTGTTGTTGTTGTTAGTGTCATCGAGTCAATTCTGACCCATAGCAACCCTGTATAGAGTTTTCAAGGAGTAGCAGTCAAGTGCTGGTCCACACCAGATCTATTTTTTTTTTAAATTAGGATAAATTTGAATATTACGCATTCTCCAATAAATCTGACATACTGTAGCAATGATCTTATCAAATAGAATTCAGTTAAGAAAGTCATATGCTCATTATGTTATTTTTTCTTGTTTGGTGTATCACTTTATTTATAATAGACATTTAGGCTTTTAATTTTTATGTTCTGCAACTTACATACATTAAAATATATTACATTCAGAATAAATAATTAGATAGTGAATTTTAGGAATGCTTATCTAACTTACTATAATGCAGTGTGTCTTTTGTAGATAAAGATGGGAGTATGAAGATTAAAAGCAGTGCTCCATTTCCGTCTCCTGTTGCCAGTAAAGTAACATCATTCACTACTAAAGCAAATGATTCTGAGCCTGTAAGGAGAAAATTCTTTATTGGTATGTGACAGATATATTCTACACTTCCCAAACCCAGCCAGTAATCTGATCTGTTGAATATCGTTTCTGTAATTCTTTTTTGGTTTTTACAGGTAACCAAAAATTCATGAAAGAAAAACCCTAAACTGAACGCCAATTTATTATTAATCTTAAGTGGGTATTCTTTAAGTATCCTCTCCGATGATCTAGAGCAAAGATTCTCTAATGTTCCTAGTTTATGGCACCATTAGAGCTTTTGTAATATGATACTTGTTGTTGTTGTAAAATGCCATCAAATTGGTTCCAACCCATAGCAACCCTGTATAGGGTTTCCCAGGAGCAGTTGGTGACCTTGAACCACCGATCTTGCAGTTCAAAAGACTTTGCAGCCTGGCGCATTAACTTACAGTGCCAAACCAGGACTCCAATTTTATACTAGGCCAAAGAAAATACCAAACAATTCAATTTTACTTGGTTAAAAAAAAAAAAAAAAGTAATAGTAGTAGTTCATATACTGTCTGACAGATAAATGCTAAATTGCCAAATTTCAGTGACATTTATGTAACATGTTAAACACCCTGCCACAGTTCTTTAAATATGCTGATACCTCGAGACCTCTTTGTGTACAATTTGTGCAACACAAGACTCAGGGTTGGCCTCCTTATTATCTAACTGGATCCAAAAGTACCTATTTCAGAAAGATGGAATGGAGATAGACATGTGAGTTTTGTAACATTTTCCGTTAAATGGTTTAAACATTTCTTTTTTAGAATATGGGTAATTTCACCATTTTTCCTTTTTATTGAATGGACCAAATCACTTAAAATACTATAAGGTTTTAAATGAGTGTGTGCTCATGGCATTACATTGGCAGGTCTTTTGGGGATAAAATGTGATGAAATGATTGTATATTACTGAATATTTCATTAGTTCAGAGAGCTTAGTAAACACTTGAAGTACTTTATATGGATACAAAGTAATTTTGAACCTGATACCAATTTTTTTTTTAATATAGCCAGTTTTTAGTTGAGGTTTAATATGAGGGGGCTTCAAAAAGTTCATAGAAAAAATCCTTTTTTTTTTTTTTTTTCATTTCCTTTTTCCACAAACTTTTTGAAGCTCCCTCATACTGTCTGTTAAATAAGGCCAATAATTATAAAGATAGTGTGCCTATGTATTTGAAAATGAAAGGTTCTATTTTGTGGGACATTTTCATATTCTGTTTTTTCCAGAAGAAATTTAACTGTTTTCTTTATTGACATGTATCTGCTGTTTAAGCTTTTCTGTTGGGTATTTGGAAATACGAGGGTGGATCAAAAATTATCTGCACTCTGGCTACAGAATTTATTTTAATCAACTTTTAGAAAGGACAAATATGTAATTTTTGACATAATCTCCTTACTGATCAATACACTTTGTACATCTGTCAACAAGCTTTCATATTCCCTTATTAAAAAAATGTTTTAGACAGAGCTGCAGGACATGAATACATTACTGTCTTCACTTCTTCATCAGAGGTGAATCTTCATACTCGAAGGGCTGCTTTCAGGGGACCAAACAGGTGAAAGTCAAATAGAGCAAGATCAAGACTAAAAGAGGGAAAAAAAAAAAAGACTAAAAGAAGAATGCTTTAACACTTCAAAACAAGTTTTTTGCAGTATCAACAGTGTGATCAGTGGTGTGGGACGTGCATTGTCATGCAAGAGCACAAAGCCTTTGGATAGCTGTCCTCTGTGTTTAATCAGAAGTTTAGGCATCAGCCCTTCAGTGAGCATCTTGCTGTAAGGAGCATTGTTGATTGTTGAACCGTTTTCCTGATAGTGTTCCAATACTAGCCCTTGAGAATCCCAGAAAACTGTAAGCATCAATTTTCAAGTTGATGGATGAACTTTTTCTTTGTCGGCAATTGAGAATGTTTCCATTGCATACTTTGCCATTTACTCTCAGGCTCATAGTGATGAATCCATGCCTCATTACCAACAATGATTTTTTTTTTTAAAGAAAATTTTACCTTCTTTTGAGTATCACTCCAAATTTTGTTAGCAGACGTTCATATGCTTCATTTTATGCTCTTCTGTGAATTGTCTCAGTACCCATCTCACACAATCCTTTCAAACCAAAGTCTGTCGTGGATTATTTCATAGTCAGAGCCATGACTAATTTTCCGCATTATCCAGTGTTACTCATCTATTCAACAGAATCAATGTTGTCATCAGCCGTGGGCATGGACGGACATTTTAACATAACCAAAGTATGAATAATTTTTTACTCACCTTCCTAAATAAATTTTATTACTTTACTTTTGATATATACGGTAAATTGGATCATAACTTATTCTTGGAGAGCCTAAAATAATTAGTAGAATGGGATATCTTTGTCTACATATAAATAGCATTAGCTGACGGATTATTTTACTGTATGTTCAAGTCACCCAGATTTACAAATGCGTGTAACTTTTAGGAATGGAAATATCATTTGAACATTTAAAACTGGAGAAAATTGAAACACTAAGGAGACAAGATGATGGATCACTGATAAAAGAGCGGAGAAGCATGCAATCCTTTATTCCTGAAGAAGGAACCAAAGCATTTGACTTCTTTCAGAAAGTTGTGGATGCAACTGAAACATGGTTCAGCCTCTTCGGGTGGCTCCAAGGGCCCAATTCAATCTCTATACCAGAGAGCGTAAGAAGGTGATAATTACATGTTTCTCCAAATCCCTTGTTTTGTATCGTCTGATAAAATATAATCTATTTGTTGGAATATTTTTAAGCAAGATGCAACATTAATTAATTGATTCTAAACAATTTATGAGGATATTGTTTAGAGTAAAAAGATGCAAATATAAATTCTTTAGTATACATGTAATTTTTAATTTCTCTTAAGCATCTGATAATTTTAGACACATATTGAATATTTCTATATTTAATGTCCTCATCTGTGAAATGTAAAAGGGTAAAATATTGAAACAGTTGGCAATTACATTTCTACATGAAAAATAGTTCTAGTTCTAGAGTATAAAGAAACTCTGGTAGCATGGTGGTTACAAGTTGGGCTGCTAACCTCAAGGTCAGCAGTTCCAAGCTACCTTCAGTTCTGTGGGAGAAAGATGAGGCTTCCTGTACCCTTAAGGATTTACAACCTCAGAAACCCGATGCAGGGTCGCTATGAGTTGAATCCGACTCCATGGCACATAACCAACCACTAAGTTCTGGAGATTAGTCAAGTAGACCAAGGCATTAGTTAACAGGGAAGTCTCACTTTTCTTTACTAGTGAATTTGCACCACTTCTTGCAGTAAAGTTTATCACAGATTAATAGTGCCACTCCTGCGTATTTTTAATCGAAATTAGCTTCATTATATATATTTTGTCTTTGTCTATGCTGTGAGAAAATAAATTCTGCAGATGCCCTGAAAATTTAGAGACTTGATCATAATACCTGTATCCAGGACATTTTTAGGAAAGTTTTTCTGTTACAAATTTTCAGTTTTCTACTTTGGTATTTATACTGAAATTTTTACTTGTTTTGAGTACATTTCAATAATTCATTTTAATTTTGAGTAAAATATTTGAGCATTTAATTTAAAAAAATTAAAAGATATTTTAAAAGTAATTATTCAAGTAATAGGGGTTTTATTATTTTTGTTTTCTTCTCTGTAGTTAAAATATTTGTTTCATTTGCCATTGTAAATTCATAATTGTCCCATTCACAAACAAATCTTTCTGGCCTGACAATGATAATATTAGATAATGGTGTGTGTTTAAAATAAGATACTGGAAAGCTCTGGAAATATTTTTCAATTCTAATTTTAATTAACAAATTATATTTGAATAAAGTTCACTTTGTAATTTCATACTTAGTTGAATTTCAATAGAATTTTATTTAGACATTGGAAGTAGTTTTCTTTTTTCTAATATAAAATTTGAGAATATGTTTCATGTTAAAGTTTTTTGTTGTGTGTGTTTTGGTCCCATAGGGCTGTGCATAAAATACTGTTCTTCCAAACAGAACCATTGCCAAAAAATGATAAACAAAAAGATTTTGCTAAGTATAATCGAACTATTTATGATATGCTGCTTAACTTGAGTGGAAAACTGCTACCTGGAGTTAATTCAACCCAGTCTCTACCTGTGGATAAAACTGAACGATTGATGCAACTGCATTTGCAGCACACGTCACTTCTCAATTTTCTTAAGTAAGAGCATTGAATATACGAAATGCTATAAATGTATTTCTACTTATAATATTCACTAATTTTAACTTTTCAAATCTCATACCTTTCTTACATATGCATGCCATTATGGTATCTTATTTTATAGAACTGCATCTAAGAAAGAAATTGTTTTAAAGCAGCAATTTCAGAACTGATTCTGAGGAGTGGGCTGAACTGAGGGAGAAGAATCTTTTTGAATCCTGGGGTTAAAATATAGCTCTTTTTTACTCTGGAAACCTTACACAAATTGCTTTTCTTGTTAAGCTCCAATTTCAATATCTATATAATTAGTATGATGATTCCCAAACCTACTCAGTTGGTAAAAGAATTAGAAATAACTAACTGTGCATTCCATGACACATAGTGGATTGTTATTATTAAGAACAAGAAATTATGCTGTGTGGCTTTCATATGCTAAGATATATGTCCTTATATTATTTAAACAGGATAACCATTAGTGACATATAGAAAATTGATACTTGTGACTTCACTATCACTGAAGTAGAATGCATTTTTTTTTAATCTGTTCTATTAGTAACGAACATCTTGTTGAAATAAAAAATGCTAGTATTTATCAATTAAGATATATTTATTACATAAAATGGGAAATTTAGCTTAATGTTTATCATTTTAAAATAGCTTGTAATTGTTCTATTCATTTGAAAACTTTCTACTCTGAGTCCTTGATTGATTCACTGAGGTAAACATTCAAATATAATTTGAAAAATCGTAAGTATTTTTTATTTTATAAGGTTTGTTGTGCTTTTAAATATTAAATGTGTGAAAACCAGGATGTTTGGTACTTAAATTAATCCTTATTGTTTGGTAACTGTAGAAATAAAATAATTTTGTTATAATGCTATTAAATCTCAATACTTTCAGTTGCCTTGTTATTCTTGTAACATTCTCATTGGCATATCTCCCAGTAGTGTTGACATTAACATGAATAGTTTCTGTGTTGATGTTTTATTGTGTGAGGATGCAGGTACAGAAGAATGATTTTGGCACTAAAGCCAAGCCATCTAGATTTATTTATTTATTCTATCAATAAATGCATGCCTATCAGAATATGTTGGTTTTGATAAAACTCCTTAACATTTGCAAAGTAGCAGTATGGTTAAAAAAAATTGGGTCATTAATCCAAGTAATGTGCATATGACTCATCATGGAAACAAATGTACTGGAATTTTAAAAAATCATAAATATTATCATAAATATTTGTGTATTATTGTACAAGAATTGGTGACAATTTTTGTACAAGTGATATTGTACCTATTTAGTCAGTAAAAAAGAAAAAAATAATATATTTTTTGGTGGTTAAGTTTAGAATTAACTCATTACATCCAATTTTATTTTTTCTACTCTTGGCAGAATTGGTCAAATAGAAAACGTAGTATGTACAAGTAAAACCAATTCATTTTATGAAAGTCAACACTTTATAAAACTACTGATAAGACATACAAACATTAAATACTGTCTTATGTATTAATTTAGCTAGTCCTTGAAATAGATTCAGCATTAAAAAAGTGGAACAAGTCTTAATCATAATATCAATCTGTAAAATGCACATATCCATTCTTCATCCTGTGGGGGGGAAAATATATATATTTATTATAATCCTGTTTATTGTATTCCAGTAACCTTTTTTTTCTGAAGTAAATAAAGACTTTATGATCTCTCTCTTTTTCTTTGGTTACTTCCTGAAGTGAGTAAAGAATTTATGATCGCTGACTTTTCCTTTTAACTACTTCCTGGAGTAAAGTGATCACTCTCTTTTTCTTTTCCTAAAGTAGGAATGCACACCTTAAAAATTTGAACTAGCCAACCTGGTAAGGGAAGAGATTGTGCAGTCAAAGCCTTAACCAATGGGGTGAGACAGCCTTGAGACTCGTGTCAGGAAATAAAAACCGGAGTGGACTGCCCACTCCGTGTGCCTACTGGCCTGTTCTTGTATGTACGGCTATGCACACACACCCTTTTGCAGGAGTAAATTTTGCTTTGCCAAGGTAATTTAGTCTCACCGAGTGTCTTTTATGTGACATTGGGATTCATTACTAACAATTCTCAGCCTTTATTTCAGTTTTCCAAGAGGTTCTTCAATGAGATACTAGAAACAGCATCTCATTGAGCTCTTTACATAGGCTATTTCTGCTAAGGAGTATTGCATTAAAATTAGATTTTATTTAAATCTCTAATATTTAAAAGACATTGGGGACTCGTAGGAATAATGTAGATGTAGCTGGAAAAATGTGTGAAAATTGAAGAGAAGGAATAATGTTTCACTTCCAAACAAAAAAATCTGTATGTAGACCATATGATTTCTACCACTAGCCTGGGCTGGTCCACGGCCTTTTCAAGCACTAGAATGATGATCATTGCTTCCATTCCCACAAGTGTTCCAGTCTTCATTTCTCTCTTCACATACATCTGTGTTGCATTTAAAAGTTTGAGCAATCAGGATTATATTGACTTTCTCTTTTTCTTTTCTCCACTCCTTGGTGGTGGTGGTTATGTGCCGTGGAGTCGGTTCCGACTCATAGCAACCCTGTACAGAGTTTCCAAGGCTGTAAATCTTTACGGGAGCAGAAATCTTCATCTTTCTCCCGCGGAGCAGCTGGTAGTTTCGAACTGCTGACCTTGCGGTCTGCAGCCCAATTCATAACCGCTACGCTACCGGAGCTCCTAGTATCCACAATTAAGTTATTTGGAGTTCTTCTTTCTTAGATACTGATGGGGTGAGCACTGTTTTCTGCTCACTAAATGAATTAGACCTGAATACCATAATCTCCATATTGAACTATGTATCAGTAAAGTGTCTCAGGTAGGGATGAATGTGCGTATGTAGAGTTTGGGTGACATAATATAATAAATATGTTCAAATTTATTAATATGGATAGATATTTGCTTTTTAAGCTGTACTAGTACAAATTTGTATAATAAAAAAGACAAAAAATTTGGATTATCTCTTTGAAAATCTAAGTTATGAATTGCCTTATATTAGGAGTTTTATATATTCTGGTAGCATGTTGTTGTTGTTGTTAAGTGCCATCGAGTCTGTTCTGACCCATAGCGACCCTGTACAGGGTTTCCGAGGGTGTAAATCTTTACGGGAGTAGAAAGCCTCATCTTTCTCCCGGAGAGCGGCTGGTAGTTTTGAACTGCTGACCTTTAAGGTTCGCAGCCCGATTCGTAACCACTACGCTACCAGAGAGCTCCACTGCAAACCAAGGTCAGCAGTTCGAAACTACCAGCTGTTCCATGGGAGAAAGATGAGGCGTTCTGCTCCCGTAAAGATTTATAGCCGCGGAAACCCTGTACAGGGTCGCTATGGGTCGGAACAGACTCCAGGGCACACAGCTACCACCACCACATATATTCTGGTATATGTGATGACAGACATTGAATGAACATTGTATGGGTGCTTTAAAGAGATGGTGAAAACCTTCCATTATCATTTAACTCCATTTTCCACAAACTTTTTGAAGTCCTCTCTTAAGACTAATGAAATACTGTAGGAAATATCATATGTACATTATGTTAATAGAAGAGATTTTTAGAAATTTAAGTACATATCTTAAAGTAAGAAAATAAAATTCAGTAACTCAGATGAAAATTATCTATGTATTATGAATATAATATTATAATAATTTACTTCTTTTTAAAATTTTAGTACACAAGGGGCCTGTATTGCTCATGTATTACCAGAATTTCTGCTAGAACCAGAAGATTATAAGAAATGGATTGAAATTGCAGTAAGTTAATATAACCTTTTGAAAAAAAATCAGTACAATTATTAAATTTACTGGTACTCAACTTTTGTTATAAAATTAGATTTTAGAATTCTAGAGTTTTATAATGATCTAATATTTTAGCCTCTTTGGAAAGTCCAAATTTTCTTATTTTCCCCCCTTTGTTTATAAATACTTATAGAGTTTTATGCAAATATGTTTACAGAACTTTAAGTGTATAAGAAATTGCTTCTTTTGAAGATTTTAAAATGAAGATTGGTGGTGCCTATATATGATTATTTTCTTAATGTAAATGTTTAGAATATATATGTTCCAGAGAAAATACTGTGAGAAATTCTCAAGATGGTCCATCTTCAGAAATAAAGGGCACACCACATTGTTAGAGTCACATAGCAACAGGGGCTTATGTCCCTAAGATATGTGAACAGGATAAATTGGGGGAAAGGGAGGAGGAAACCATTCACTAGGAACTTTAAATAAGAATACAGTCATTAAGGCCATAGGCCCTGTCCTGGGAAAGATTGTGAACACCATATTGCTTAAAACAATGAGGAACCAGGGGAGGGACTTCTCAGACTAAGGAATAAATTGTTTGCAAACCCACTGCTCCAGGCATCTGCCCCTGTCTACTAGGTTGGGTGTCTGAATTTGCAAAATCCAATAAAGAAAACCTCACTCTGGTTAAAATGAGTACAGACTGGATTTCCTGGGGGTTTGTCAGTAAGCACTTGGTGACCTCATAACCAAGAGAGACCTAGGGAGTATCCGGGATATCTATGTTTCTCACAATACTGACTTATTTTCACCACCACTTGCCATTTTAGGGCTTCAGTTTTAAGGGAGAAAAGAGAAAATTTAAGTAAGAAATGCTGTGTTTCCTCAAAGTACACCATTCATTTTCTGAAAAACTTTTGTTAAGAGGAAAGGTGCCCTGTTTGCATAGTGGGCTATGTGTTGGGCTACTAAACCAGAAGGTCAGCAGTTCGAATCTACTAGCTCCTCCATAGGAAAAAGATGAGGCTTTCTGCTCCCACAAAGATTTACAACCTTGGAAATCGTATACAGGGTGGCTATGAATTGGAACTGACTCATGGCACACAACCTTCACTACCACCACAGTTAAGGGGAATTGTTTTTGAAAAGTCTATAGTCCTAGTGTGGTGTTGTAGGATAAGCGTTGGACTTCTACCCACAAGGTTGGTGGTTCAAACCCACCAGGTGCTCCTCGGAAACCTGACTCAGTGCCGCTGAGTCAGAACCAACTTGATGACACTTAACCACCACCACCACAACCAGAAACATAGGCTTTGAGTCAAATCTACTCTGATTGTGGCGCTGTTACTAAGCTTGCCATGTGGCATGAGTAGAAGAGCTATGCTGAGTTCTTGGGGCCCAATCCAAAAGGTGAGTAACTGGAGTCAAGGTTGACAAGAACGTTCCATTTCATTCTTCTACTCTGCCACAGAGTTAGTAATGTTGCAGGAGAAAAAAGACACTGAGATCTTAAATGAAAATTCAAAGTACTGATTCCACATTAGAGAAATAGCTGGATGGAAAAAATCACTAGTTTGTTTAGGTTAAAACTTGACAATTTCAGAGAGTGGATCCCAAGCATAGACAGATACAGGATAAGACACACAAAAAAATTACAATGAAATCATTGATGGGTTACTTTTTGATCGGGGCCACAAAAGGAGAAGGTTAAGGAAGTGGGAAAAAGCTTCCAGTGGATACAAAGGCTTTAATATACTCAGGCAGGTTATAAAATTTACAGTTATAATTACAGAATGCTTGCAATTTATACTTTTCAGAGCAAGTTATAAAAATCTCTAGGTTGATATAAACATTCATTGAGACTGGTGTCGGTAATAAAACTAAACAACAAGGCTCATTCTAAAGAAACTGCTTGCTCAAATGAAACCTGCTCGGTTCTCTGGAAACTGATCCAAGGTTTCCTGAGACTTTCTTTCTATAACCTGATCATGAAGGAAATCTTTCTTCAGGCTATTTTGTGTCTATGTATCTGTGTCAAAACCCTCTACCTTGGGGTGTAGTCATTCCACATCTTGACTTGACTGCAGGAGAAAACATTTCCTGAGTTTTCTGGAGTCCTGGTGTTGTACTGTGGGCTAATGCATCAGACTGCAAAGTCGTTTGAACTGCAAGGTCGGTGGTTCAAGCTCACCAGCTGCTCCTTGGAAACCGTATACAGGGTCGCTATGGGTCGTAATAGACTCGATGGCAAATATGGTTTCTAGCTATCAACATGTCCAGATAAAAGGAGTTTGTTAGAAGTTTGCTTTAAAGCAAACATTTAGGTCTCAGACAGGCCAGTAAAGGCCAATTTAATTTAGCAAGAGGTGAATTTAATTCAATCATTTAGTTTTGGTCAAAAAGGCTTTATAAAGTTCTCCTTTACCGTAGATACAGTGAAAGAATTAAGTTATGACCACAGTAAGGGATTGTTTGTTCCATAAATTTACTTGTGCTGCAATCTCCTGTTGTTATTTAGTGTCGTTGAGTTGGTGCCTACTCAGCAATCCTGTATAGGGTTTCCGAGGAGCCGCTGGTAAGTTTGAACTTTTGACCTTGTGGTTCAAAGTCCAGTACTGATCCTATAGCGCCACACCAGGAGTCTCCTACTACTGACAATATAGAGAATTACAGTTTTGGGGAAATGTATTTAAAAACACGGGAAGGTTTTATAAGAAATAAAATTACAACTGATGTATTAACTAACTAGTTAAATTTTGTACTTATGCTAATGTAATATTTTATTTCTTTAAGTCTTCTGATACAAGGCCATCAACTTCTGGTGCACCTAAAGAGAAGAACCGTCTTATTATAGATATCACTGACTTTGAAGCCTTGAGTAAACGGGCCTGGACAGATGTACTACTCCAGATATACAAGGTGATCTTTTTACTGTGGTTCACTGCTAGTTTTTGTTGAGTCGTGTGGATAGTTTAACAGTTAACGTATAGGCAATACTTCTCTAAAAGACTTTAAAACGCAGTGGCTTAAATAAGATAGAAATGTATTTAAATTTAGTAACAGTGTAATCTCTCTTTCATCCTCAACTAGACTTTCATCTAAAATTGCTCAGAACAAACAGGAGCAGTAGAGAATAGTGGAAGGCAAGATTCATTTTAAGGATCTTCCCTGAAAAATGAATTGCTTCCATTTAACATTCCTTTAGGCATGACATAATCACATGGCGAAATCTAGCTGCAAGAGAGCATAGGTGGCTCAGGGAGATTCTGGTACTGAAGGGAAGAATAAAAGAATAGATTTTGATGAAAATTGTGGTCTAATTTAGTCTAGAATGCAGTGGAGTCATAACATAAAATTTATATAGAAAGGTATTCAAGAGAAATCATACTAGTATAGACAGAAGCAAGGTTTGATAAAACTTTCCAACTTAACTCATGCCAAGTTGCATGTGTGGTTAGGTTGGTAATGGTTATGTGCTGTGGAGTGAGTTTCAACTCATTGCGACCCTGTATAGGGTTTCTGAGGCTGTAAATCTTTACAGGAGTAGAAAGCCTCATCTTTCTCCTGCAAAACAACTGGCAAATTTGAACTGCTGAACTTGAAGTTAGCAACTCCTAACCCACTGTGCTACCAGATCTCCTTGTGGTTAGATTAATGAAACATAAAGTATGCCTTTATACATTATCTCTTTATTGCATAAATAAATCCTTGTATGAGCCCTAGGTTTCTAAACATGGCACTATAAACTTTGTACAATGGAGTCTTTCACTGTCTTCACACTTTGTCATCACAGATAGAATGAGCTGTATGACAGAGAGTAGAATGAGAAAGGAGTTAGTACTTAGTCACTCAAAGAAAAGGAAAAAAGTAAGAAATTATTAGTAAGTGCTAGGTATAAATCTCTATCTCTAAATGCTATTCAAGTGTTATCTCATTTAATACTCATGACCAGTTTATACCAGATTGTTGTTATCGTTAAGTACCATATGTATATATATAGGGTTTCCAAAGAGTTGCTGGTGAGCATGAACCACTGACACTGCTGCTCAAACAGACCTTGCAGTCCAGTGCATAAACCCACAGTGCCTGGTGCTGGTGGTGGTGGTTATGTGCCTTGGAGTCAGTTCCGACTCATAGCGATCCTATATAGGGTTTCTGAGCCTGTAAATCTTTACAGAACCAGAAAGCTTCATCTTTCTCCTGCAGAATGGTTGGTAGTTTCAAACTGCTGACCTTGAGGCTAGAAGTCCAACTTGTAACCACTATGCTACCAGAGCTCCTTTATGCTCACAGTGCCTAGACCCAAGAAAACTGAAGTTCAGAAGCACACTTTCTTCCAACATCACATCATTTGGGCTATGTACAGCATAGAAATGAAACTTATTTCTTCCTTGTTTTCTGCTGAGGCTTATGATCCCAGGGCCCTTCTGGCATTTTAAAGGCTCCATTGAAGCCAGACATTCAGGCCTGTCGACTGGAAAGTTCCTTCTACTGTATGATAACCTACTTGTTCCTCCTCTTCTCTTCTTCTTCCATTGATTTGTTCTGTCTCTCTTTCTGGATATCAAGAAGAGAAATCCTGTTATTTCTTCACTTGTTCTCCACAGAAGCCACAAGCGTATTTGTAACTGTCAGCCAAACTTAGGGGTAGAAAAAAGACGTTCTCTTCTTTCTTAACTCCACAATAAGATAGCAGCAAATACCCTACCTTAAAGGCAAACCACTCTTACTCCTGGACTTTATTCATTAATTCACTCATGTATTTATTTCTTCATTTTTTACATTCTTGTATGAGTTTCGTTTGTTTAATCCATCTACTTCACTCTGTAACTCTATCTGTAAGTTTAGAAGCCATGAATGACTAATAAACTTAGCACCCATTAGAATACTTGTTACGTTAACAAAAACCCAAGCCATTGCGATCAAGTTGATTCTGACTCATAGCAACTCTATAGGACCCAGTAGTACTACCCCATAGGGTTCCAAGGCTATAATCTTTAGAAATCAGACTGCTCTATCTTTCCCCTGTGGAGCAGCTGGTAGATCCAAACTACTGACCTTTTGATTAACTGAGACAGGGCCATCTTTTGTAAATGTTCGGAGTAAAACTCAATAAGATTTGATAAATTATTAGATTTACGGGGACAAATGAGATAGAGGGATCAAGCAAACACTGAAATGGAAGAAAAGAAGGAAGAGCAGTGTTTTGCTAAAGAAGGAGAAGTGGGAAACGCCAAGAAGGCATGATAAATTAATGTTGGTCTTGTTGTATTTAGAGTGACTTCTGTGATTACCACATGGGTGTATCCTGTAGTCAGGAGAGAGAGTGAGTTGGCAGCACACATTTGGGAGTCTTCATGGATTTGATGATAAAGACATAGGAAGGGATAAGATAACCTAGTAAGAGCATCTACAGAACCCCGTTTCTCTGTGTATCAACTCTGAAGCACAAATAGTTCCAGACACTCTATTAAATCAAAAGTGGACTGGCAATTTCACTTGAAATACTAGGCGATCTTGTTCAGATGTATTTCACAAGTTAGAAATGGAATGCTATGATTTCCACACCGATGCCCTTAGGTTCTAAGTGCTCCATTTCTAGACGTAATGCATGTGCTCCAAGATTTCTTCTTTCCATTCTCCTTGGCTAATTGTTTACATTACAGGACATAGTTTGTCTCATCCAATTTGATTTTGTGCCATTTGATTATTTTGCTTGTTAAATTCACATGTGTAATTAATTATAGCTATTGTCTTGCACTTGATGCTGTGGATTAATGTGCTTGATTGCAAAGTCAGTTTGTACCTACCACAAGGTCATCGGTTCAAGCTGACCAGTCACTCCTTTGTTGTTGTTGTTGTTATGTGCCGTGGAGTCGGTTTCGACTCATAGCGAGCCTGCACAGGGTTTCCGAGGCTGTTAATCTTTACGGGAGCAGAACGCCTCATCTTTCTCCCGCGGAACCGCTGGTAGTTTCGAACTGCTACCCTTACGGTTCGCAGACCGATTCGTAACCACTACGCTACCAGAGCTCCTTGGAAACCCTATATAGGGTCACTATGGGTCAGCACCAACTTGACGGCACTCAGCAACA